TTTTTTTTCTGATGGTTTCCGATGATCAGTGGGTTTTGATTGTTGAGAATGTCCTACTAAATGGTGTCTCTACAGCTTGTGTGGGTTCACTAACACGTGTTCCTGACTTGATCGGTGGTGTCATATGATACTACCAAGATACTACACTTTCGAGAATCACTCGAAGTCATCTCGGTTGAAAATTCATCTCATTTTAATTTGGTTTGGACTTTGAGGGGTTAATGGTCAATTTCTAAACGGTTCGAGCGAAATCTGTGGTGGCTGCAGGAGTAGCATATTTATTATCAAGACTGGCACAAAAACTCAAAAATAGGCAAGTATTCATACGAAAATAATGAACGCTGATTCGTACATGGTTTTCTTACTACCTACGTACACTATCTTCATTTACTCGGAGTCCGCGCAAAAACTAATTCGATATTCATAAAGTTTACATTTTCATTCATCCATAAAGGGGTGCAGTAAAACAGCTGAGTCGAATTGTTCAGTCCAAATCATCTGTCGAGGATAGTGGATGGTTGCTTCCGGTCCTCTGGTCAATGCTTTAAGCCGGTACATCCAGCACAACTGCACCACTTGCGGGTACGAAGTGAGGACCTGGCGGTGTTATGAATTTCTTCTGTGTTGCAAGCGGATACATAGGCGAACAGTATTCGCACAATGAATTGGAATTTACGAAAACTATGATGTGTCCCTGAGGAACTAAAACAATCATGCAATTGATTTTGAGCACAATTTCAAACTGCTGAGCTTAACTTAGGCATCCGGAGTTTCAGTGCTGCTGGCAAAGTAGTCAATCAGACCCTCCAGCCAGAAGTATCATTGCTTCAGTGGACGATGAAATTCGGTTAGCTGCTAAAATTTGAGCGTATATTGAAATAATCTTTCGTTTGGGCACACACGCTACAAAGTGCAACATTCTGAAGCAAAAGTTTCACTCCACGCTTGAAGGTTTTGCAGCTAAGGGCATTGTCCCGCTAATGGTTCCGATAAGATGCAGCGCGTCACAGCGGAAAGCTCTGGTTCCCCGGTGCACGGACACTACCGAACTACGCAGCATATGACTTATAATTGAAGGTTGTTCTTGAAAATCTAAGTAAATAACAAGGAGCTATAGGTGATAGGCTACAAATCCAAGTTCTTCCGGTAAGTGTAGAAACGTCTGGTATGATGCATGGTCTCTGTCAATCAGGCGTTTATCTTTCCGTACTGCGTGGCCTGTGGTGCGAAAGTTGATGCCTTTATTGTGTGACGCGGCAGAATAATCAGGCTAAAAAATGCGCACACATCCACTGTTAGCGGTAACAACAGTAACGAAACATTTACAGACCCGTGAAACTAACACAGACTCCGCAAGCATCAGACACACCGAAACACAGCATCACTTAAACTGACGTGTGCCAGATATCTGCGCGATACGCGTGGAGCAGATGCCATAGGCCAAAAGCAAACAAGTGCAAAAGTGGACTGACTTACCAGTGCTGCTGTGGCGTACAAAACAATTTCTCATGTGTGTCCGAAAATGAGGTGAACCCAGTCTGATCGTAGAACAAAACTTTGGGGCTCGTTGGTGTACGAATTACACAAAGATCTGGGAATTGACAAAGCGCGGACTGAAACTGATAGTCTACGGAGGGCGGTTTGTGCGAATGGGCACATCAGCCTTCATGGCCGTCCTGGAAAACTTTACCCAAAACAACCCAAGCACATCGGCCCAAGAGCTTTCGAAACCTTTTCCAATTGACTGCTGGGAGTTCAGTTCGCCGAAATCCACTCCAGAAAGACACCGGTCAGACGCCTTCTTACACACAGACAGGACATGGTTTCTGGTTCCCCAATATGCATATGGTGTCCCCAGACTGATCAGCTCCCTCACACTGACTTCGTAGTCCTATAATCGGTTTTCAACACCAGGACGAAATGAAGAGGAACTGTCAGTAGACAGTAGAAAGATGCCAGAATAATTGGTGCTGCAAGGAGACATCCGGTATCCAAGTTAAAACCTGATATACTGTGTTGCTGCAGGAAAATTCCACCAACCTGTATGCACGGGCGAAGCTTCGTTGGGGGTCGAAGAGATTACACTTTGTGAAGAATTTTCTGCCAAAAACGAGACAAGCGATCCATGCCAGCCGACGCTCAAGAGATTTCCTCCCATCATTTTGTAGGTTGCTTATTCTAACTAGGACGTTTACGTCTTGTCATCAAGGTCATGTTCTTTGCAACGACCCCGTGCAGTGTATGCACATTATTTTGTCCACCGGGGTTATGGATTGCGCTTCTGCTTCGCGCATTGCTCCGCTTGACAACCGGTGCACTTAATACAGGCAAGCATTCAGCTGGACTCACAGCTTTTGGCCGGACTGTCTCGTGTGTGAATGAGTCACATGT